CTCCCCTCTCTCTCCTCCTCGTCCACCCATCTCTCTCTCTCTCCCCCTCTCTCTCTTCCTTTCCTCCCTTTCTCTCTCTCTCTCTCTCTCTTGCCCACTCTATCAGACATTCCAGTGTTGATGATGATATCAAGAGCGGATAATACCTACGAGCGGATAAGAGCGTAATAATACCTATAATACCTACGGAGGTATTATCCGCTCTTGATGATATCTAAATACACACGTGCGCGACTGTGTTTTATAGACGTTACTTGACAGTGTTTTACTGACACATGAACCGCTCCCCAGGTCCGACGTACAGGCGTTATAGTGAGAGCGAGGGAGTAACAATGGGATAGCGGAAATCAGAGGGTGAGAGGGAGACGGGGGGAGAGACAGGCGGGGGGGGGGAGATGTGAGAGAGGGGCGAGGAGACAGAAGGAAGGCCAGGGCTGCGAAGACGAAGAAATGAATATGGTGAAAAAAGCAAATATCACTCAGGGATTACCTTCAAAGTTTTTCCAATGGGTTCTCTCGATCTATCTATCTATCTGCCTACCTATCTATCTATATTTCTATCTATCTATCTATCTATCTATCTATCTATCTATCTATCTATCTATCTATCTATCTATCTATCTTTATCTATCTATCTATCTCTCTCTCTCTATATATATATATATATATATATATATATATCTTTCTCTTTCTCTATTTCTCCATCGCTATCTATCTATCTATCTATCTCTTTCACCCGATCTCTTTCTCTCTCTCTCCTACTCTATCTATAGGTCTGTGTCTCATATAGGTAGTTACTGGATGGGATGAAACCTAGCTAGGAACCCAGCTACAGATGGAACTTAATTAGTTAGGAACCCAGCACGCTCCGATATGTTGTATATTGCATCAGGGGATCACCACACACGCGTCGCCTAACCACGTGATGATTGACACCACGTGACCACGCGAACCATGTCTCCTCTCTACTATATGCTACAGAGATGAAGCCGCTATAGAAATAAAGAGTGTAGAGATACGGGAGGTAGAGAGAAGGGAATCGAGATAGAGGAAGAGCAAGAGGGCGGGACAGATATAGTGGGAGAGATAGAGCGCGAGACTGAGATGAATAGAATGAGCGTAAGTGGGTGAGTGTTAAAGAGATAGAAAGAGAGGATTGTATGTGTGTGTGTGTGTGTGTGAAAGAGAAAGAAAGAGAGAGAGAGAGAGAGAGAGAGAGAGAGAGAGAGGGAGAAAGAGAGACAGAAACAGAGAGAGAGAGAGAGAAAGAGAAATAGAGAGAGCGAAAGAGAGAGAGAGGAAGAGAAGAAGAAAGCCAGACAGACAGAGAGAGAGAGACAGAAACAGAGAGAGAGAGAGAAAGAGAAATAGAGAGAGAGAGAGAGAGAGAGAGAGAGAGAGGAAGAGAAGAAGAATGAGGGGGAGGAGACCGATGGACAGGCGTGGAGTCGTTGTAAACCATTTGAGCGCATTACGGCAGTATCAATCCCGCCTCTTCTTTCGGAAGCCCCCGTAACCGTGGCAACGGTCCCGGCGCGTCTCCGCATCCATCCGGAGGGGCGGGAGAAAAACGAGCGAAACTGGCGCCTGCTTAACATGACAATGGCGAGCGTGCGGTCGTTATGGCTGCTGTCACGGCCGCTGCGGCCAGATTAAATGCACTTCAAGTGCAGCTGCCGTCGTCGGGCCGTCTGTCATTCACCTCGCCGACTTGCGAAAAATCGTCAATGCAGCGGGGTAAAGAATTTTTTGAAAAATGTAGTTGAGTGACGTCGGTTGGCGTGCGCGCGCTTACTAATCATGCAGAACTATACATGCACGCAATAGAGGGGAGTTGAGGGGAGAGGAGAGAGGAGAGAGGAAGGAGAGAGAGAGAGAGAGAGAGAGAGAGAGAGGAGAGAAGAGCGCGGGAAGAGAGAAAGAGAGAAAGAGAGAGAGAGAGAGAGAGAGAGAGAGAGAGAAGGAAAGAGAGAGAGAGAGAGAGAGAGAGAGAGAGAGGAGAGAAGAGCGCGGGAAGAAAGAGAGAGAGAGAGAGAGAGAGAGAGAGAGAGAGAGAGAGAGAGAGAGAGAGAGAGAGAGAGAGAGA